GTAAGCCTGGTGCAGCTAGTCCAGTATATATTTAAATATACCCGCATATAAATATAGTTCAGATACAAGAATAAGTAGGCATATACAAATGCAGAAATATACATGCACACACCTACATAAATGCACTCATTGGCCGCTTTATTAGGTACACCTCTTCAACTGCTCGTTAACACAAATATCTGATCAGCCAATCACATGGCAGTAACTCAATACATTTAGGCATTTAGACATGGTCAAGATGGTCTGCTGAAATTCAAACCGAGCATTAGAATGTGGAAGAAAGGGGATTTAAAGTGACATTAAAGTCAAAAAAATGTTTCCCTCCCCCAATGTTAATTAAAGCACTTACCTAAAATAATGTCTCTTAATCCGATCTTCTTCTTCTTTCCTGATGTTTTCATCTGTCCCTCCAGCGGTGCGGCGGCTCTCCGATCCAGCGCTGACTGTTCTGTCCATGCTGGTACTGCTGATCCCACGCTTTGCGGCCGCCCGAGCAGTTTCGGATTTTCTGACGGGAGCGTGCGGCGAAGACGCGGTAAGTTTAAACCGCTGTTAAAGCGCTTTGTTTTTTTTTTTACTTTTTGCATATATCTACTGCTTGCTAGCAGTAGATATATGCAAAAAAATGAGGCTTTAGAAACCCTTTAATAGACTTTGAAAGAGGCATGGTTGTTGGTGCCAGACAAAAGGGGTCCAACCCAGTACAAGCAAGGCGTACCTAATAAAGTGGCCAGTGAGTGTATATACACCTACAGTATATACATACATGTGTACAAATCAGACAAATTAATAAGGAATTCAGGAGCCCTCAGGAGCTGATGTATAATCATTCTGCCCAGTATACAGCTGGCCACATGCTGTTCGCACAGCATTCCCACCACTACATATAGCTGGGGAAACATAGGAATTTCCTAAGCTCCTCAGCTAGTTTTGGGAATGCGATCCGAATGGCACTCACCCAGCTATACCCTGGAACATTTATAGATCAGCCCTTTAATATGCTCTGGGCTTTTGAGAGAATATTTCATGCAGAGGAACAAGAAAAATGCAAAGAAAATATATATACAGTATATTATTTCAAGTGAATGTATGTATCACTTGCAAAAGTGTGCCTTTTGGTAAACGATAAAAAGGCCATTGTGCTTCCATCCCTGTCTAACTGTGCAGGAGTGTATTCTTGCAAGATATGGGATCCTCAGATTTCTCAGGATGCTGTAGGAAGAATAAGTACCATCACCAGCAGTAAGCCAAGAGCTACGCTAAGTATCTTTAACTTTTAATGTGACAGCTGTCTGCGTGGTTTAAGGAGCTCTGTGCACTCCTGATAAATGGGGTGCAGCATACACCTGTCAAAGTGAAAGAGGAAGTTTGCAGCTTATACCAGGAGAGCTCCTCACCCAGAGTCATCTGCAGGTCTGAGCTGTCAGTTTTACAGCTGACTCCTGCTCTTTACTCATTTATGTAAGAAAACTACTGGAATGTCCTTCATTCATAGATTAATGTTATGTTTTTTTAACAAAATGTTGTCCCCTAGTTAGCTCTAATTAGTTTTTATGAAAGTGGAAGTAAAGCTTGCTATTTGCTAGGCTTTCTACACAGTCTCGTCTGCCATAAAAGCTTCTTTCTAGCTTCTTTTCTTTTTTTCTGCATGATGTGGCACGCTTGCACAGTTCAGCGCACAGATCTGGCATGCCAAGATGAAGTAACTCCCGTGCACATGTGCGGGAGATACGTCATTGCGGCCCAGCGAAACAAGTGGCCACAGAATCAGACTCCAAAAGAGTATCAAGCTGAAGATGGAAGCGCAGGAGAGGAAGAGTGCTGCGCAGGAGGGGATTAGTTTGGCAGGTAATTCTGCCATAATGTGCGTGCATACTAGCACATTACTGCTAAAAGTTCCAGGGTGGGTTTTTGGGGGGTTTTGTTTTTGCCTTTACTCCCACTTTAACTCTTACTAGCCCATTCTGTCCTTGGCTGACATTGTTTCCTGTTCATATATAAATATGTTTGAGAAATGCTGTATCGGATGGATGCACAGAAGGAACCCTAGTTGAGAAAGGCTGTATCGGAGGGATGCACAGGGGGAACCCTAGTTGAGAAAGACTGTATCGGAGGGATGCACAGAAGGAACCCTAGTTGAGAAAGGCTGTATCGGAAGGATGCACAGGGGGAACCCTAATTGAGAAAGGCTGTATCGGAAGGATGCACAGGGGGAACCCTAATTGAGAAAGGCTGTATCGGAAGGATGCACAGGGGGAACCCTAGTTGAGAAAGGCTGTATCGGAGGGATGCACAGGGGGAACCCTAGTTGAGAAAGGTGTATCGGAAGGATGCACAGGGGGAACCCTAGTTGAGAAATGCTGTATCGGATTGATGCACAGAGGGAACCCTAGTTGAGAAATGCTGTATCGGAAGGATGCACAGGGAGAACCCTAGTTGAGAAAGGCTGTATCGGAAGGATGCACAGGGAGAACCCTAGTTGAGAAAGGCTGTATCGGAAGGATGCACAGGGAGAACCCTAGTTGAGAAAGGCTGTATCGGAAGGATGCACAGGGAGAACCCTAGTTGAGAAAGGCTGTATCGGAAGGATGCACAGGGAGAACCCTAGTTGAGAAAGGCTGTATCGGAAGGATGCACAGGGAGAACCCTAGTTGAGAAAGGCTGTATCGGAAGGATGCACAGGGAGAACCCTAGTTGAGAAAGGCTGTATCGGAAGGATGCACAGGGAGAACCCTAGTTGAGAAAGGCTGTATCGGAAGGATGCACAGGGAGAACCCTAGTTGAGAAAGGCTGTATCGGAAGGATGCACAGGGAGAACCCTAGTTGAGAAAGGCTGTATCGGAAGGATGCACAGGGAGAACCCTAGTTGAGAAAGGCTGTATCGGAAGGATGCACAGGGAGAACCCTAGTTGAGAAAGGCTGTATCGGAAGGATGCACAGGGAGAACCCTAGTTGAGAAAGGCTGTATCGGAAGGATGCACAGGGAGAACCCTAGTTGAGAAAGGCTGTATCGGAAGGATGCACAGGGAGAACCCTAGTTGAGAAAGGCTGTATCGGAAGGATGCACAGGGAGAACCCTAGTTGAGAAAGGCTGTATCGGAAGGATGCACAGGGAGAACCCTAGTTGAGAAAGGCTGTATCGGAAGGATGCACAGGGAGAACCCTAGTTGAGAAAGGCTGTATCGGAAGGATGCACAGGGAGAACCCTAGTTGAGAAAGGCTGTATCGGAAGGATGCACAGGGAGAACCCTAGTTGAGAAAGGCTGTATCGGAAGGATGCACAGGGAGAACCCTAGTTGAGAAAGGCTGTATCGGAAGGATGCACAGGGAGAACCCTAGTTGAGAAAGGCTGTATCGGAAGGATGCACAGGGAGAACCCTAGTTGAGAAAGGCTGTATCGGAAGGATGCACAGGGAGAACCCTAGTTGAGAAAGGCTGTATCGGAAGGATGCACAGGGAGAACCCTAGTTGAGAAAGGCTGTATCGGAAGGATGCACAGGGAGAACCCTAGTTGAGAAAGGCTGTATCGGAAGGATGCACAGGGAGAACCCTAGTTGAGAAAGGCTGTATCGGAAGGATGCACAGGGAGAACCCTAGTTGAGAAAGGCTGTATCGGAAGGATGCACAGGGAGAACCCTAGTTGAGAAAGGCTGTATCGGAAGGATGCACAGGGAGAACCCTAGTTGAGAAAGGCTGTATCGGAAGGATGCACAGGGAGAACCCTAGTTGAGAAAGGCTGTATCGGAAGGATGCACAGGGAGAACCCTAGTTGAGAAAGGCTGTATCGGAAGGATGCACAGGGAGAACCCTAGTTGAGAAAGGCTGTATCGGAAGGATGCACAGGGAGAACCCTAGTTGAGAAAGGCTGTATCGGAAGGATGCACAGGGAGAACCCTAGTTGAGAAAGGCTGTATCGGAAGGATGCACAGGGAGAACCCTAGTTGAGAAAGGCTGTATTGGAGGGATGCACAGGGAGAACCCTGGTTGAGAAAAGCTGTATCGGAGGGATGCACAAAAGGAACCCTAGTTGAGAAATGCTGTATCGGAAGGATGCACAGGGAGAACCCTAGTTGAGAAAGGCTGTATCGGAGGGATGCACAGAGGGAACCCTAGTTGAGAAAGGCTGTATCGGAGGGATGCACAGAAGGAACCCTAGTTGAGAAAGGCTGTATCGGAGGGATGCACAGAAGGAACCCTAGTTGAGAAATGCTGTATCGGAAGGATGCACAGGGAGAACCCTAGTTGAGAAAGGCTGTATCGGAGGGATGCACAGAAGGAACCCTAGTTGAGAAAGGCTGTATCGGAGGGATGCACAGAAGGAACCCTAGTTGAGAAATGCTGTATCGGAAGGATGCACAAGGAGAACCCTGGTTGAGAAAGGCTGTATTAGAGGAATGCACAGGGAGAACCCTGGTTGAGAAAGGCTGTATTAGAGGAATGCACAGGGAGAACCCTGATTGGAAAAGGCTGTATTGGAGGGATGCACAGGGGGAACCCTGGTTGAGAAAGGCTGTATTAGAGGAATGCACAGGGAGATCCCTATTTGAGAAAGGCTGTATTAGAGGAATGCACAGGGAGATCCCTGGTTGAGAAAGGCTGTATTGGAGGGATGCATAGGGAGAACCCTGGTTGAGAAAGGCTGTATTGGACGGATGCACAGGGAGAACCCTGGTTGAGAAAGGCTGTATTAGAGGAATGCACAGCTTGTGAAGCAGTCAGTGTTTATACAATCCAGGATACGATCAGTGGCTGTGTTGAGCCTGGAGAAGGGCGGTCTGCACACACCTACCATTGTAGAAGACAGGCAGGAGGCCGGCTCCTCTCCCTCCCTTCACACAGCAGCCTGTATAGCCATTTCTTCCACTCCAGCCCTCTGGGAAGGTCCGTGTCTTCCCTCCACCCAGCACTAGGATTGTGCTTCCTCTTCCCTCGGATCCTCCCCGATCTCAGAGCCCGGACTGTGTGCCCTGGATGGGATCCCGGCAGCAAATCTCGGGATCCACAAAATGCCGACGAAGAGCAGGTACAACCTGGTGGATGACGGGCACGACCTGCGGATCCCGCTACACAACGAGGAGGCTTTCCAGCATGGCATCTGCTTCGAGGCCAAGGTGAGAGCGATGTGCCCGGAATGTCACCGCTGGTGCCAGCTGCCGGGAGCGCTGTGTACCCTGCCTGCGCCTGCAGAGGCTGTCGTGTAGTATTCTCCATGTGTCTATGTGTGCCATCCTGGGCTCCCAACTCTCCCAGATTTCCAGAGACTGGTATAGCTTCTTAGGATCTGTCCCTGGAAAGCTTTGTACTTCACGATGTCTTTGGTTTGCAGCATTCCCCAGGCTGCTGGATTTTGGAATGTTCAGTTCTTGAGATCATTTTGTATTTTGTAAACATTGTTCAGGATGTTATAAAATATGGGATCTGAGTTTATAAATATGTTAGAGTCTGCTTGTGTGTCCTCTAAGGTAATGGGGCTCATTCACATTTCTGCTACAATGCTTGTTGGCACAACACATGGCACCCACCTGCTCAATGTGCTGTGCCATTCATTGTGACTGGCACCCCAACGCACTGATTTGCACCACAATGCAAATACTGTGCGCTTTGGTGTGCTGCGTTGCTGGAAAAGGGGTCATGTGTGTTTTTCATCTGTTTTGGTGCGTTGGTAGCCCATTCAGAATGAATGAGCTGCCTTAAAGGAGAACTATGGGGTCAGTGTTTTTCCCCATAGTTCTCCTTAGGGTAACGGGAGGATACAAAGTTTCTAGAACTATGAGGTGAGTGAAAAGCACTCACCTCATAGTTCTCCTTTAACACAACACATGTTAATGATTTGCAATGGATCACTTAAAGAGGATCTATAGGATTTACTCCATCCCAGTATTTTTAGATACAAATATAACCTTTTGCCTCCAGTCTTCTACCAGTCCAGTGATGCCACAGGAGCTTCCTCTTCTTGGTGGGGGTAGGGGGGTGGGCATTCTTTCAGGATTGATCGGTGGTCATGTAATGATATGTGTTACATGTGGGTTCCTCCTTTTTCTACTCTAGGATATATATTTTCCTCTATTTTCTTCCCCTGAGGAAGCCCCGTTTGGGCGAAACATGTTGGGACATACAGGATCACTCATACAACTTTGAAAAAAGCAACTGCATATTTCAGAACTGTACGGTACTGTCACCAGATGGTGAATGCACCCGCATATGTTTTTTATTTATGATTTTTTTCTCTCTATTTTAAAATAATGTTTAAAATGGTATTTCAAATAAATGTGTTTCTAAGATTTTACCTCTGAGGTCTGGAATTGTTTCTAAAAAGCCCCCTTTCTCCTTTCCCTTTGGGTATTTGCACACCCCACTGTGGAAACATTTTTTTTCTTCTATACTACAACCCGGGGTGTGAAACTTCCAACACCTCTATACTTCATTTGCAATACATGTCTACTAATGTTATCTCATGTAATGATATGCGAGTGCCACTCAGTCATGGATTACTGTAAGCCCAGCCTGCCTGAGGATGTGCCCCTTGGGGGGCATCAAACAGAATGTGGGCTACAGGCTCACAGGAAAAGGGTAGAATGGCATTACTGTCCTATTGCCCAAAATTGCCTGCACCAGATTGAGGAGAAAGGGTTTATTTATTAGTCTTTTTTTTTTGATGGGAGTGTGATAAATTCAATAAAAATGTAGTATGTGATCTACTTTAAGTGCAAATGGGCCCTAAAGAACTTGGTGAGATAAACTGCTTCCATAGCAGAGTATACCAAGATATTATTTTATTGCAAGTGCTAAACTAGGTGTACATTGGAGAAGTGCCTACGCATGATGGTAACAAGAAATGCCCTGTTGCATTCTGTTCTGGGGTCAGAGATGCCTTATTCTGGTTGTCAACTTACAAGGTAAAACAGGCTGCAAAAGTGGCCCCTGATGTCTCCAAGGGACCTTGTATTACATGTAATGCTATCGAGATCTGTCTAGATACTCTGGACTGTCTAGATATGTCGTTTGTCGCGGTCGCTTGTGCGGGACACTTTTTCCCGCAGATGTTGCACCATTTTGCTATTTTTGCATGCAGCCCGAAGGTGAAGTTTGCGCGATCGTCGCTGGAACGTCGCCCCATCCCGGCCGCGCGGATCCGCTCGAGGTAAGTGTCGCTTAGTGTGAATGAGGCCTTAGTGAGACTCTCACACTGCAGTAACTGGGAAATCCAAAGCAGTTTGTACAATCAGATTGTAACAAGTGACCAGCTTCAGTTTTGCGCTTCAGGCATGAATTTTTCTTTGCAGGCATGTCAGACGGGCCACCTGACAGGGATTAATCGCTGCTACAGATCGGTAATGTCAGCGATTTAATAGCTAGAGTCTCTGAGGATTTGTTTAAACTAATGCTACAACGTCGAATTATGTTCCGCTACAATTCTCATTCAGGACCCGTTCACACCAATGCCATGCGTTAATCAGATGGTTCTGTGTAATGCACCTACTGTGCATTATAGTGCAGCGGGTGCATTGTATTGCCATCCATTTGTGGCCTCCCAGCCACAGTGTGCTCAACTGCGTCGCAGTACGTGGTATGGCAATACCTTTCTTTGCAGTGCGGTTGCATGCACTACTTTTTTCAACTGCAGTGCACGGAATTGTGGTATTTTTTCCAACTGCACCACAATGCCTGGTATGGTGGTACCATGTGTCGCGGCGTGGTTGATCGCATTGCGGCCAGGAGGTGTGTTTGGAGTGCAATTCAAATGAATCGCAACTCACCTGCCAAACTGTAATGCATGGTAGGTGTGTTGCGCAGTGCTGTGCATTCATTGCATGGAATCGTACAATTTAGGCACGGCATTGGTGTGAATGGGCCCTTGGTGACTTGTAGATAAGTCATAGAGCTGAATGGAAAGCAATCACCGCTGGCGATTTTGCTGCCTACATGAAAAGCTGCTGAATTCCAATTGGTCAGCGACAGATTGCTTTAAAAATTGAAGAGTTAGCCATTCCATAGGACACCAGTATGGATTTTTTAGTGGGAAATCACTAACCAAATGGAGGGGGGAGGGGGGGTTCTGCAAACAAATGTTCCGTCTGACATCAGCACTCAATGTTTTGTTTAAAAATGCCCTACGGGTACCGGTGCATAGTAAGCATATACCCTGGCCTATAGGTTTGAGTGACACTATTATAAAGAAATATCGCCTATTAATTCAGTTAATTTCCCATTAAACTATCTTAATTGATTTGACGTTACAAATAATAGCTTTCTTTAAAAGCACTTAACCTTTCTAATGATCAGATTATTCCTCTTCAATCAATACTGATGGTTGGTGCCAGGTTTCTGTAGTGTCTTTGGCGCATTCTCTGAATTGGGCTGCGTATATACTGCTCGAATTTCGGACAATTCAGCAATGTTTGGCCTTGTGGGCACACCTCCATTGACAAAAGTCGATTTTTCACTGACGTTTGTTGAAGCAGCCGGTCTGAAAACAATGACTGCAGCCAATCGGCTGCAGTTCTTGTGTAGATATTCATAGCAGCAAACCTATTGCTGTCCGAATACAATAGCCTGGTGGGAGTGGGGGACTTGGTATTCCCCCCTCCACAATGTTTAGCATGGATAGGTGAATTTTTTTTGCATTCAGCCCCGCGATTGTTGTATCACCAGCTTAGGCCTTTCTAAATGTTATTAGATTAAATACCCTTTATATTAGGGATGCACCAATAACGTTTTTTCGGAGTACCAATATTTTGTTTTCGGTAATCGCCAAGACCGATACCGAAAGTCCCATTAAGGAAGCCAGACAGCGGGTAAAGAACGCTACCCGGCTTCCCGATTAGCAGGGGAGCCGTCTTCATGCTCCCTCGTCACCAGCCAATGGGGAAGCTGGCGCTATGTTATGACTCTTTGCCCGGCTTCCTGATTGGTCGAGAAGCCGTCTCCGTGCACCTTTGTCACTTGAGATGACGAGGGAGCATGGAGACAGCTTGCAGGGCAGCATGACATGACTTGCTGCCCAGCTTCATGATACTGAAAGCTCAAGTATCGGGCTAGGCATCGGAGCATTTGGGCGAGTACAAGTACTCGCCCCAATACTCAGCATCGATCCCAATACTAGTATCGGTATTGGTGCATCCCTACTTTATACTATCACATACGTTTATGGCCAGTAACCTCTATATTTACATTATTAAACCTGTACCTCCCAGGTTGTAGTTCTGGCAACTTTTATCATTCCTATATTTTGTACTGCATTTCCCTTATACTACATGTGGCTTATAGATGCTCATATATAAAATCTGTCATTTCATCTATGGTTGTCATGCAATTTGGGAGTTGTTAGGTGGGCAGCATTTTCTCCCTATGAAGGTGGCATTTTCAGTGTTTCACTGTGCAATATTTTTGATCCTAGGTAAGGCCTCATTTGCAGTTTAAGCGTAGCCAGGTGATATAGAGGCTTTTTTTGTGACTTGTAGTTCAGGAAGACAATGGTGCATTTTTGGTCTCATAGACTTTTAGGCTACATTCACACCAGAGCGTGAACATTTAAAGGCATTTTTATTTGTGCATTTTTTGCAAATTTGTTTCAGACTGGAGCATTTTTTGCTTTAGGCAATGGAATGCCAGGTACTAGGAGAAGGAGATTGCATAGCCATATTTAGGCGTTTTGCAGGTGCTTCCAATTGCTTCGGAAGTAACTCGTACCTTTTTAGTTGTCGGGCATCGAATTACAGACGTATGCCTTAAAGGAGAACTATGAGGTGAGTGCTTTTCACTTCAGCAACATAACACTGTGAACAGGCCCATTGGGAATAATGGGATTCTTCATCTAGTGCATTGTCGCGCTTTGGGACAGTACGCCCAGGTGTGGATGGGGCCTAAACTGCAAATACCTTGCAGAGGGATTCTGCAATATGATCCCTGCATTTCTTGGCATGACCCGTCTGCTGTTCAAAGGTTTGAACGAATTTGATGTTCCTCTATAGGGATTGTGCACAGCAGTGGTGACGGGACAGTTCATAGTTCAGTGCACGGTAATCAAGAGATTATGGCCTGTGTTACTATGTAGTCGCTGTGTTCAGCATGGTGCACAATCACCATGTGTCTGTGTTCATTCTCGTTTCTC